AGAAGTAAAATAAGTTTTCAAAGACCTAAGAAGTTTATAGTGACGTTAAAATAGTGTTAAAGAAGAAGAAAAGTGGAAAATTTCAGTAAAAGTGTACATTAAAATATTGTGACAGAATTAATTCAGAAACCTTGAATAATTCAGGGGATTGTAAGAATTACGATTCGATCCAAAGTATACAAACATTGAAAAGCAGATAACTTCAGTAATATAGGTTGCAGGAATACCAAGATAGAATTTCGATAAAAGCGCACGTAAGTGTCGGAGAACCTTGAAGAACTCAATCTGCGTTTAAAGAATCTGATTTGAAGTATATTTGAAGGTAGAAACCCTGAAAGGGGAGCAGAGGATAACTTCATTAAATAATTTCGCTGAAAGTGTGCGGAAGTACGTACATGATTGATATCGAAGAATAAACCTGAAAATCTTGAAGAATTTCTTGCAAATCTTATTAAAAATAATTTTAGTGGTTGGAAGAGTATAAGAGTAGCGTCAAAGCGTGTAGCTTTAGTGAATGTGCAGATGAAAATATAAAAAAGTATATTAACTTTGAAGAATTCGAACTAAATCCACAAAGTCTGATTTAAAACCTATTTCACTTAAATCTGCAATCCGCAAAGATGTAATAGGACAATTTTATTAGTGTGGATGTTGAAAGAATAGAAAAGTAATATCACCAGGTTGTGTAGCTTCAGTGAATGTGTACATGAAAATATATAAAAGTATATGACAACCTTGAAGAATTCGAACTAAATCCACAAAGTCTGATTTAAAACCTATTTCACTTAAATCTGCAATCCACAAAGATGTAATAGGACAATTTTATTGGTGTGGATGTTGAAAGAATATAAAAGTAGTATCACCAGGTTGTGTAGCTTCAGTGAATGTGTACATGAAAATATATAAAAGTATATGACAACCTTGAAGAATTCGAACTAAATCCACAAAGTCTGATTTAAAACCTATTTCACTTAAATCTGCAATCCGCAAAGATGTAATAGGACAATTTTATTAGTGTGGATGTTGAAAGAATAGAAAAGTAATATCACCAGGGTATGTAGCTTCAGTGAATGTGTATATGAAAGTATAAAAAAGTATATCAACCTTGAAGAATTCGAATTGAATCCACAAAGTCTGATTTAGAGCATATTCCACTTAGATCAGGTGTTCTAAAAAATGTGATAGGACAATTTCATCGGTGTTGACGTTGAAAGAGTATGAAAGTAGTATCTCCAGGTTGTGTAGCTTCAGTGAATATCCAAACCAAAGCAGCAAAAATATATCACGAAACCTTGAAGAACCCGAACTATCCAAAAGTCTGATTTAAAACATATTCCACTTAAATCTGTAGTTCATAGAAGTGTAAAGGGACAATTTCACCAGTGTTGATGTTGAAAGAGTATGAAAGTAGTATCTGCAGGTTGTGTAGCTTCAGTGAATATCCAAACGAAAGCAGCAAAAATATATCACGAAACCTTGAAGAACTCGAACTAAATCCAAAAGTCTGATTTAAAACATATTCCACTTAAATCTGCAGTTCATAGAAGTGTAAAGGGATAATTTCACCAGTGTTGATGTTGAAAGAGTATGAAAGTAGTATCTGCAGGTTGTGTAGCTTCAGTGAATATCCAAACGAAAGCAGCAAAAATATATCACGAAACCTTGAAGAACTCTAACTAAATCCAATAGTCTGATTTAAAACATATTCCACTTAAACCTCTCAAAACTTGATAGTTCTCAAAAACAAAGGACACCTTTAGAAAAAGTATAAAAGCACCACAAGTGCTTTCAGCAAACCCGAAGAATACAACAAAGAACCTTGAAGAAAATTAGAAAAATCTGTTATACCAAAAGTTTCCGAAAAGTAACAACTCAGAAGGTTGAATAAATTCGTACAGAAGCCAGAGAACGTAGAAGAATAGCCGAACCTTGAAGCAATCGAGCAAGTTCGAAGGAGCAAAATTCTGCAGACAGAATTCGAGTTCCAGACAGTCTCGTCTCAAAGCGAAGGCAAAGTTTTGGAACTCGTTTACGAAGCTATCAACGATCGATTATAAAGGCGTCTCTCCGGCATCCAGAAAACGTGGAACGATAACCTCGGTGTCGTCGAACTGTCACTAAAGGAAATCGGAAGCGGATACGGTGTAACCGATAGAGGACCTGTGTCCTTGGAGTTGCCGACAGCCTGTTCGAATGTTCCGAATTCGATGAAGAGATTGCAAGTCCCCATTGTTCGAGCTCGCAGACAATGGAGGAGGAACTTCTGACTGTTTCGAGTGTTTGCGTTTGAATCGACGAATATCTCGTGGCTGGTCGACTTCGCAAAATTGACGGAGAAACGTGGACGTCAACGAGAAACGTTTTCTGTTTCTTCGAATTGCTTTCGGGACTAACGAGCTCGAAGAAATTTCCTGCTACTTGCCGATGAAATCTTCCTATCGGATCAGAGGACATCAAAGGGCAATATCGTGAACGGAATCCTTCGAGCGGAATTCAATGAACCAGGACATTGAACAGGCGACGATCTCGTGAAGGATTCTTCGGAAACGTGGTTTCGAGAAGTCATATCGAGAGAGCTGGGAAATCTTGGTGAAAGCTCGTGTACAGGGATTAAGCATTCCGTGGGATCCTTTCGTTAATATCGTTGCCTTGATCGTGCAGGGTCGAAAGGACTCTTCCAGGATTAACCGGCCCTCCTTTAGTGCCGGAGGATCTTGGAGGATCAGCGACATTAGTTTCGGGAATCCGACGCTTGTCCGAAGATACCTTTGCTCTTCCCAACCGAGAATAGCACCAATAATTGCGTGTCAAGTATCTGTGAAAAATAGAGTCGCTGATGCGTGGCCCAACAATCTTTTTCTTTCTAATCGTATATTCTTCGCGGTATTTCTACAATATTTATTAACTTCCACTCACAAAGTTCCATTTATGAAGAGTGATTACACTCCTTGATTACATTCCTTGAATGATTACATTCAAAGAAAACTTTCATCAAAGTTATAAATTCGTGTAATCACAGTATCGAGGATAAGTCAGCCATTTTAATTGACCGGCACTCGGCGCGGGATTTAAACGCTCGAAATAATAGAGAAAAAGTTCCGCGCTAATAGAAACTCCGGTTAATGGATTCATGCATTTGTAAACAGGAGAGATTCGAGGATAATAGGAATTCTATAATCACCAGGACAATCGCGACTTTAAGTTGAGCGTACAAAAAGCTAGAGGAAAGTTTGCTCTTTAGAAAAATCCTCTTTGACGCCGTGTTGAGGATTCATGCATACATAATCGCTTCAAATTCGATTCAACAGGTACATTGTCATTTCATCTGAATTTAAAATCGGACGGGCGAAGACAAAACGTGGTGTTTAAGTATTTTCGTGAATTATACAACGATTCAAGGAAGTACGCTTAAGGATGATGTAAAAAAGGGACTGTTTTATTTTTCTTCTTAAAATAAGGTATTTGAAGACGGAGTAGGACGGAGTTTGCTGTTTATGAACAATTTTGTGAACATTTTAAAAATCAATTTGTGTATGAACATTTTTGTGAACATTTTAAAAATCAATTTGTTTATGAACATTTTCGTGAACATTTTAAAAATCAATTTGTTTATGAACATTTTTGTGAACATTTTAAAAATCAATTTGTGTATGTACATTTTTGTGAACATTTTAAAAATCAATTTGTTTATGAACATTTTTGTGAACATTTTAAAAATAAATTTGTTTATGAACATTTTCGTGAACATTTTAAAAGTCAATTTGTTTGTAAACTATTGAACGATACAGACACAAGAATAATATCAACAAAAGTGACTGTTTTAATATTGTTCTTAAAATAGCAGCATATAAAGACGACATAGAATAGAGTTTGGTGTTTATAAACATTTTTTATGTAACAATTGTGTGGACAATTAAAATAGCAGATCGAAGGATAATATCACATCTGATTCAGAAGTTACAGATACTAATACAATTACAAAATATAGGACACAATTAAATAGTTGAAGAAAGGAGATACAAGAACAAGTAGCATAAAGGATAATCATTTTAGATTTGATTCTAAAATTCAGCATAAAAAAACATAAAATATTAACATAACATAAAAGAGAATTTAATGTGATCATTTTAAATTTAACTTCGAAATAAAACATAGAAAAATAACAAAATTTAGTGTGTTTTCTTCAAGATTGTATTAAATATTAATTCCAACTGAGAAGAGGAGATTTGAGAACTGATAGCAGGAAGGATAATTTCATATCTGACGAAGTGAAGCATATGGAAGCAACACGATAGAAGACAGTTGATTTCAATTTTTCTCAACGTATTAAGAAATCTTGAAAAATTAAAAAGAGATACAGGAAGAAATAATAGAAATCGTTCTGTATTTGAAAATAGAAGAAAGCTTTGGTGTCGATACGTTCCCCCAACATATCAATAAATTTTGAAAAATTAAAAAGAGAAGATACAGGAAGAAATAATAGAAATCGTTTCATATTTTAAAACAGAAGAGAGTTTGGTGTCGACACGTTCCTCCAACATATCAATAAATTCTGAAAAATTAAAAGAAGAAGATACAGGAAGAAATAATAGAAATCGTTTCATATTTTAAAACAGAAGAGAGTTTGGTGTCGACACGTTCCTCCAACATATCAATAAATTCTGAAAAATTAAAAGAAGAAGATACAGGAAGAAATAATAGAAATCGTTTCATATTTTAAAACAGAAGAAAGTTTGGTGTCAATACGTTCCCCCAACCCCTAAAAAATTTGAAGAGACACAAGAAAAAATAATAGAAATTTCACATTTTAAAATAGAAGAAAGCTTGGTGTCGATACGTTCCCCCAACGCATTAACAACCCCTAAAAAATTTAAAGAGACACAAGAAAAAATAATAGAAATTTCACATTTTAAAATAGAAGAAAGCTTGGTGTCGATACGTTCCCCTACATTAACGACCCATAAAAAAAAATTGAAAAAAGACACAAGAAGGAATAACAGAAAAATTCAATTTAAAATAGAAGAAAATTTAGTGTTCTTCCCCAACTTCCCCCAATTTCTAAATAATTGAAAGAGACACAAGATAAACGTCGACAATAAAAGATCGAAGAAGATAAAAGAATCGAAGGAACATAACCGTTCATTTTGATTTGGACGTACGAAAATAAACGAAGTCGAACGAGGCAAGATGGGCTGGCAAGCGAGCAACGACACCGTCCTCGATACCGGTAATTACGTGTTGAACGCGTTGAATTATATTAACAAGTTGAACGAATCCCTGAACACCGAGGCGATCAAGTGTCTGCAACTGAAGCACGAGGAGGAATTGCAGATGCTATCCGTTGGAAAACGGCCGGAGGACGAGCCGGGATGCGAAATTAGCTGGGATTCTTTGCTGTGTTGGCCGAGAACGCCTCCGGGAATGTTAGCCACGCTGCCCTGCCTCGAAGAACTCAACGGTATCCGGTATGACAGCACGCGTAAGTAAGAATATTTCATATCGAAATTGCGCAACGATTGGGGTCACCTCGATTAGAAATTCTCGACTCGATGCTTTCGGCGTCCTCGGGAATTTTGATATGGGAATTGTTTGTCTTGTGCTTGTTAGAAATTTTGTTCGGAATTCGGAAATTAATCCCCAGGAATTTTACAGTTTTATTTTCAAATATTTCAATTATAATGCACGCACTTCTCAATTTTTACGTAGGTGAATTTTGAAGAATTCGCAAATTTTGTTGTTGTTACAGATGTTCCTGTAACAAATTACCCATTTTTCTATTTTTATTCCGACACTTATTTATACATCGACAGGTCTGCAGTATGCTCTTGAAATATTTAAATAATGCATTTCTCAATTTTTACATAAGTGAATTTTAGGAATACTTCACAAATTTGTTAGGTGTTTTTATCTAGATGTTCGTGTATCTAACAAATTATCCATCTCTAGTTTCTATTTTTATTCCGACACTTATTTACGAACCTTATTTATACATCGACAGGTCTGCAGTATGCTCTTCAAATATTTAAATAATGCATTTCTCAATTTTTACATAAGTGGATTTTAGGAATACTTCACAAATTTGTTAGGAGTTTTTATCTAGATGTTCGTGTATCTAACAAATTACCCATCTCTAGTTTCTATTTTTATTCCGACACTTATTTATACATCGACAGATCTGCAGTATGCTCTTGAAATATTTAAATAATGCATTTTTCAATTTTTACATAAGTGAATTTTAGAAATACTTCACAAATTTGTTAGGTGTTTTTATCTAGATGTTCGTGTATCTAACAAATTACCCATCTCTAGTTTCTATTTTTATTCCGACACTTATTTACGAACCTTATTTATACATCGACAGGTCTGCAGTATGCTTTTCAATTTCACCGCATAAGGTGAAAAATCGCGTGATTTCGGTCGAAATAAAACACCCACAAAAAAAAAAGAGACACACACGCAACTAATTCTTCACGAATTTTCCTTCCTCGAGAGAAAAAGTAGCTCGTTGTTCGGTGGTTTAATTAAATTCGATACAAGGGAATGTTCGTTTGAAGCTCGCATTTAACTTTCTTCCACGTGTAGGAGCTTTAAAAGTCACGCGTTGTTGAAACTGGATACACGATAGAATTTAACTTTCCTTCCATTCTATAATCGACTCCGTGTAAATCCTTGGAACTTGCCGATAAAAAAAACAGTTCAGATTCTATTACCGGATTAATGAAACTTACTGAGATGCATGAAAATTGAAGATGTTAAATTTGTTTTCGTAAAACGTTGACTAAGTACTTTATTTTTGTAGAATGGGATTTAAAGAAAATATTATTATATGTATCGCTTAATGTAGCAAAATATTGATATTAAAAAAATGTTTAATTTTATTAATTAAGAAAGAGATAAAATATTGAGAAATTATTGATTGTCTGAAATATTATTTGTCTGTGTTACTTAATATAAAAAAATGTTGATGTTATTTGAAAATTGTTTAATATTATTTATTATGAAATAGGTTGACTATTGCAGACTTGTTCAATGTCTGACATATTATTTGTCTATACCACTTAATGTAGAAAAATATTGATATTAGAAAAATGTTTAATTTTATTAGTTAAGAAAGAGATAAAATATTGAGAAATTGTCGATTGAGAAATATTATTTGTCTGTGTTACTTAATATAGAAAAATGTTGATGTTATTTGAAAAATGTTTAATATTATTTATTATGAAATAGGTTGACTATTGCAGACTTGTTGAATGTCTGACATATTATTTATCTATATTACTTAATGTAGAAAAATATTTATCTTCTTAGAAAAATGTTTAATATTATTTATTATAAAATGGAGTGACTATTGCAGACTTGTTGAATGTCTGACATTTTATTTATCTATATCACTCAATATAACAAAATGTCATTCACTGAAAAACAGATAAAACAGTAAAAGAGATGAAGTATTGAAACCTTGTTTGGTATCTGACACATCATTTATCTACTGAATACTAGAAACTGTTAATATTGTTAACAGAATGTTTAACATTACTTATCATAAAGTAAGTAAAATATTGAAAAACTTCAATGTCTGAAATAATATTTATTTGTACTACTTACTACACCAAAATATTGATTCTATTAAAAGAATATTTAACATCTTTCAATATAAAATAAATTCAAGCTCAAAAACTAATTGAATCCTAAAACTGAAAACTTGTTGCAAACCAAAATTGATTAAAATTCCTTATCATTCATGAAAAATTGAATAGCTAGCATCTAAAGAAAATCCTTAAACTTTAATTTTTTATCTCCGATTTTAATTCTACTCCTTGAACAGAACAAGCTTACTGCGTCCATTATCTGTCCAAGAAATGACAGCGAACGAATTACGAATTGAATGAATTCAATTTTCTGGTAGAATAAGTATGACAGAAATTAATATCCTTGAGTCTGCGAAGATCGTAAAACGAAGGTAGAAAATAATCGAAAGGAGAAATGGGAAAAGGTATTCGAGAAATTATGTGATATTGATCGATGCATCGCGGAAAGTCACGAAGAAACTCATTTCATGTGCTAGTACTAACAGCAAATATCGTGCAACTCCTCGAATAATTGAATCGAAAGTGATCCATCCATCTTCGCGATAATTAATTTCCCGTTCAAGTACGAAACGCGCCACTCTGTAATCTCGGTTTCCCTTTATATCAAGACACTTTCAGATACTCTATTGATTGCTTAAAATGAAAGTAGTATAAGTGCATGTTGGGAAAATGGAAAATTGCAATGTTAATGCGAATTCAAAGTGCTAACATTCTTAAACTATTAATTTCTCAAAGTTTGAAGATTTTTAAATTCGCAAAATTCTTAAAATCACAAATTCTCAGATTTCTAAATTCTTATGCTAATTTTCAAGTCTACGAATTCCTATATACCCAAATTCTCAGATTCCCAACTTCTCACATCCCCAAATTCCCACATCTCTAATTTCCTACATCCCCAACTTCTCACGTGCCCAAATTTCCACATCCCCAAATTCCCCACATCCCCAACTTCTCACATCCCCAAATTCCCACATCTCTAATTTCCTACATCCCCAACTTCTCACGTGCCCAAATTTCCACATCCCCAAATTCCCCACATCCCCAACTTCTCACATCCCCAAATTCCCACATCTCTAATTTCCTACATCCCCAACTTCTCACGTGCCCAAATTTCCACATCCCCAAATTCCCCACATCCCCAACTTCTCACATCCCCAAATTCCCACATCTCTAATTTCCTACATCCCCAACTTCTCACGTGCCCAAATTTCCACATCCCCAAATTCCCCACATCCCCAACTTCTCACATCCCCAAATTCCCACATCCCCAAATTCCCAAACCCCCAAATTCCCAAATCCCCAAATTCCCAAATCACCAAATTCCAACCCACATCCCCAACTTCTCAC